ATGCACTTGTTCCATTTTAGAAATGATCCCTAATTGTATTTCTTTTGCTTTGTTTCTGAAGTTAAAAGCAGTTATTTCAGAGTCTTTTTTGTGTCTCTGATTATATTAACATGCCATCTGAAGTTACCAAGACATAGCGTATTTCATAGTTATGTTCTACGGATATGAGTCAAAAGTAAGTTTTAAACAATTAGCTGTGAAAACATTCCATTGAGCTTGGGAATGCAACAATCTTATTACCTCATCATGGAAATTTCTAGCTTAGTTAATTTAAATATTTTGTTTCTTAGTTTCTGGGTCAATTAAATTTAAATGATGTATTTTATGCTTCGTGACCAATTAAATTAATAGGTTATTACAAAAAATATTATCATCTTTTTTGATTAAAGAGCTGTGAGTACAGTATATTTTATAAGCAATTTTCATTAGTTCAAAAATGTTCCTTTAGGCTAGATTAAGCAGCTATTCATTGCTAGAGCCTTGAGACCTGATTCCAAGGTGTTCATAGCATTCACAGTGCACTATTACTTAGAACTAAAGCCAATTGAACCTACTTAGCAATAGCGTTATGCCTTTCACCCTTGATGATTATGGAGCTTATAGCTCTCAGAAACAATACACCTGTCAGTTTCCATCAACTATAGCAATCCATGCAGAAGGCAGAGGCCCACAGAAAGCAGGAGGTTTATTGTTTTAGGTTCAATTTTTCTTATTGTTCTCAAAATCACTGAAAGGTTGACTGAGTTCTGTGTCTGATTTTTTTCAGACAAAAGTAGTCACAGGGAAGGAATTAATTGATAACTGTTACTGATTTTTTTATGTGTTTAAAAATACAGGTTTGATTTAACCATCATCCTTAGTAACCCTATCAATTTCAGCTTCATATGAGGCCTTTGTTGAACAATGTATGTACTCGTATTGACTGTGTTTGGACAACCAAAAGTACTTTTCCTTCTATTTTATATTGCAAAATAATGTTGTTAGCAAGCTATTTAAATGAGAAACTGTTAACTCTTGACACTATTTAACACTTTTCCTCTTCAAAGCACTTCATTAATTAATACATATTAATTATTCTTTGAAATAGACCTGTGAATTAAATATTATTGCCATTTTACAAATGGGCAAAATAAGGAAAAGAGGTTGAGTGACTTGACCAAGGCTATACAGAGGTAGTCCAGATTAGAGTCAGAATGAGAACTCAACAATTCCTGGTTCTCAGTCCTGTGCTTGAGCAACTGGATCAAATATAACATGAAATGTTATTACTGTTAATGGTAATGAAAATTATTTCATCTCAAGCATTTGTTAGATTTGTTAACATTGTAATAGTGTGTGTGTACATGCTTTTTGTTTAAATTGTATTCTTCCTTTAAAATAAACTCTTCCAAAATCCTCCAGATTTTTAAAACCATGAATAATTCACATTGTGTTGCTTTATTGCAAGTTATAAATACATACCTAGGTCTCAATTCTGCAAACATTTACATGCATAACATTATTCATATGAATAGTGCCTTTGGCTTAAACCTGACTATTGGCATGAGTAAAGTTACTCACATGCACAAGTGTTTGCAGGGTCAAGGCCTTACTTAATAGAATTGCTACTTTTATATACCATATAGTCACAATCACAAATTTCTCTTTTCCTCCACAGGGCTGCAAAATATGCCAGGGGATTATGTGTCTCGGGGTAGTCCAATGGGTATGAATATGGGACAGCCAAGTTATACCCCGCCCCAGATGCCCCCACATCCTGCTCAGCTGCGTCATGGGCCCCCCATGCATACCTACATTCCTGGACACCCTCACCACCCAGCAATGATGATGCATGGAGGACCACCCCACCCTGGAATGCCAATGTCAGCATCTAGCCCCACAATGCTTAATACAGGAGACCCAGCAATGAGTGGACAAGTGATGGACATTCATGCTCAGTAGCTTAAGGGAATATGCATTGTCTGCAACGATGACAGACTTCAAATATTGTCTTTCTGCAATGACTATGGAGTTCCATTCTTGGCATCTACTTTGGACCAAGGAACAATCCTATTCTTCCGAGGGACCCTGGAAAGCAGGAAACACTATGTGAAGTCAACTTCTGGGGACATGCTAAATAACGATCTAAGACATGAAGAGAACAAAGAGTGAAATATTGTAAAATGCTATTATACTGTTATCCATATTACGTTGTTTCTTATAGATTTTTTTAAAAAAATGTGAAATTTTTCCACACTATGTGTGTTGTTTCCATAGCTCTTCACTTCCTCCAGAAGCCTCCTTATGTTAAAAAGCCTTACAGTTATCCTGCAAATGACAGAAAGGGCTTATTTGCAGGATTTTTAGAGCATTAAAATAATTATGTCAGGCAGAAGAATCTTTCTTCTATCCTAGGATTTCAGCCATGCACACACACAGACACACACACACTCTCTCTCTCTCTCTCTCTCTAGCCTGGGGCGTGAATTTGCATGTCTAATTCATTTACTCACCATATTTGAATTGGTCTGAACAGATGTAAATCGGGAAGGATGGGAAAAACTGCAGTCATCAACAATGATTAATCAGCTGTTGCAGGCAGTGTCTTAAGGAGACTGGTAGAAGGAAGCATGGAAACCAAAAGGCAGTGTATTTGAAGCCTAATTGTCACATCAGAGCATCATTGTCCCCATTCAGCAACACTTATACATCACTTCCTGTTTTACGCAGCTCAAAACATGAACTGAAGATTTATTTTTAATATGTTGACTTTATTTCTGGGCAAAGCATCAGTCGTGTGCATTTTTCCATAGTCCCATCATGGAGCGTTTATGTATACATTGTAAATAAATTTTGTGCAAAAAGGACTGGAAAAATGAACTGTATTATTGCAATTTTTTGTAAAAGTAGCAGTTTGGTATGAGTTGGCATGCATACAGATTTACTAAGTGGGATAAGCTAATTATACTTTTTGTTGTGGTTAAACAAATGCTTGTTGATAGCCTTTTTCTATCAAGAAACCAAGGAGCTAATTATTATTAATAATAATCAATGCACACTGAGTCTTAGAGTTTCTGATTGAAACCGTTTGGATTGTATAATAACTCAAAGCCCAGTTGTAGTAGTTTGAGTGCAGTAATGAAATCTGAATCTAAAATAAAAACAAATTATTTTTTGTCATGCTGACTCCACTGCTTGAAAAATTTGTTTGCTGCCCCCCAAATTGGTAGTGATTCTCCAGTAATATGTGAACCCAGCATCTGCAAGATTAAACTGTAAAAAGATTTACCTATAATTGCTATTTAAATACCAAAGTCTTAGTACCTTATTGAAAAGTAATGCTACACTCTATAAAAAAACTTTCTGAAAGCTTACACCACAGATTGTCAGAATAACGGTTGCCTATTAGCAAATTGAACATTCAAAAGCATTAACTGCAGAACATTTTAACTCTTTTCTCTCTCCCTGAATTACATCTCTAATACCTTATTTACATTACTTGAATCATTGACAATTAAACTTTCTTGAACTGAGTGTATTTAGAAAAAAAATTTAAAACCTTGCCTGAGATAAGTGCATATTTGTAAGTAAATTAACTACTCAAACTAAGGATGATAGACTTTTAAAATCTAATGCTCATAAAGAAGTCTTGTGCTCTGATTGGCTGAAGACTGATCATTAACCAATTTTCCGTACAGCTGTACTTTCTGCACTGCAGCCAACTAGTTAAATAGTACAAAATAACATGTTTAGGCTGCAGTACCTTATAATTTTCTTTAAATAAAATCGCAGCTATAAAAAGTGTTTCCTAAGGGTAAGAAAAATACACAAATATTTTAATTAAGACAAATTCCTAAAAAACCTCTAGCTGTGATTGTTTGGTAAACAAAAGGTAGCATCTGAAGCAGGGCTGGCTAGAGCGCTGAAGTCTGCCATTCAAATAGATGTCACCCCATAAACCCGCCCTGAACAATTCGATTTTCCATTTGAAAAGAGGAACCAGTTGTTTGGTGGGTTTACTAGGTGATATTTGATTGACTGGCTTACCTGCTGGAGCAGTCCTGTCTCCTCTCACCTTTTTGTTTATTGGAGTGTGCTTCAGAAGTCTCCCTTCTAAATAAACCTCCCTTTTATGACATTAAAATAAGCCTTTAGCCATAAACCCCACCCCACCCCACCCCCTCTTTCCCCCGAGTAGGATTTTTAAAAACCCCAAATCTAGAAGGGAGAGCCGCGTTCAGTCTGCAAATAGTCCTCTGGATGGGAATTCCCTCTTGATAGGTGGTTACTAGCAGTTAATGGCCATTTGTTTACTTTTTCCATTAAATAATAAATGTGTTTTAAAACTACTACTAACCATCCATTTCTCCCCCACTGCTTACAGTCAGGTTCCAGCCTAAGACTCCATGGGGCTGATTTTCCACTTACTCCGGAAGGGTTTTACACTTGTGTAACTCCCTTGAGTTTATCCGAGCTGCCCGATCTACACCAGGGCCAAGGAGTGGAGAATCAGATCCACTGGATGAATAGTGTGCATGGGGATGCTTAAGAAGGGGGAGTTAGCTGGGGAGTATTAGGGCAGCGGAGAGTCAGGCTGGCTCCTGGAGCCTAGTGAATTAGGAAAATCAAATGGTGGGTATCCCCCCCCCCCCCCATCCTCGGTTCTTTCTCCCCTCCCTAGATTTTTAAAGGGCCACTATACCGATGAGATTGCACATTTCTGATCCTGCCTTGTGAGTTTATAATAATGCCAGTTCTGAGCCAAAATGGGAATGCTCGGAGCGGGGTTTGCTGCTGCTTTTCTGCTCTCTTTTTTTAATGTTTCCTAAAAGACAAAAACAAACCGCCCTGCAGCAAACAAAGAGCACACGCGTTTGTGCCTTTCTTAGGGGTGGGGAGAAGACTCACAAAAGGCTTCTTCGTTAATATGACTGTTTTAGGGGGTGTGGAGGGGGGTTGGTACATTTCACATTAAAAACGCTCCTCTATCCCGAGACATTTAATCAGCTGTAATTATAACACATTCCAAATGAAGAATATGCTTGACAGTATTTTTATTGTTATTGTTCATCGCACGATCTTAGGCGGCTTTGGGGGCACAGGAAAGAGAAGTAAACGGGTTACAAATAGGGAATTATCCCTCGTTTAGCATTAAAATTCATTTAGATAAAATTGCCACAAACATGTAAATGGGGAGATTAGTTCCCCCTCACGCCTTATTGCACTCTCTCAATGGCTCCGTTTTACACGTTGGGAATTCCGTCTTCGCAGGCTGCTTGCTGTTTCCTAGCTACCCCACATTCAAAGCAAAAGCTGCAAGAGAGAGAAGGGGGGCGGGTGAGAAGAGAAAAGGGGGGGAAGTTTTGGCAACCAGTCTGCAATTCATCCTCCGCGATCCGCCCTAACAGAGGGGGAAACAAATATCTGGGGAGGCTTTATCCCCCTCCCAGCCCTGCGTGGACAGGCCAACGCTGTACTTTCCAGCAGGGAGGCAAGCTGGGTTGTGTTTAGTTTGGAAGCCCCAAGTGATCGGGACCGGGTTTGTCGCTGTGTGAGTGTGGGTGCGCGCCTAGCCACACGCAGGGTGTGTGTGTGTGTGTGTGTTCCCCGTGTTCCCCGCACCTCGAGCGGGAGATCTGCCGCGATCCGGGGAACAGAAAGAGGGGGGCGGGCTGGTGTGTTCTTACAAACAAAACCACACAACTCTCCGGCCGGCTGAGTGAGAACAGCCCGGTGGTGTCCTCCTCCTCCTGCGCCCGCTCCGTCTCGGCAGAGCCCGAGGAGGAGGAATGGCAGCTTCGACTGCCATCTTTTGGGGGGTTGGGGAAATGACTCGGTTCCCCCGGCCCCTCCGCTTCTCCTGCCTCGAGAGACGGGCTCCCTGCTTCAACAGTGCATGGGGAAAGAATTAGCCATAAAATTAGTGACTCACAATTTCAAATGGGAACCGCTAAGCGGATTAGAGACGCGTGGAAGTGTAGGGAGGGTCTGAGACCCACTCGGGGGGATCCCCCGCTGCAACCAGGCAGGTTTTGTCTCCCTTTGCCGAGAAGGGGGGACCCCCCCAGCGCTTGTGTCAGGGTTGCGGGGGGGGAGAGGGGCGGTCGCACCCCACTGCAGCGGATCCCCCGGAGCCAGAGCCCCCGGTGCCAGCCGGGCCCGCCTCTCTCCCCTCCTGGGCTCGCTCTGGGGCTCGGGGGGCGGTGTGCTGCGCCATTTGTTCCTTGCAAAGTGATTGCTGTGTATCGCCTTGGATCAGTGAGTTCAGCCTACCTGGAGGGGAGGGGGTAGGAAATCCCGCCGGGGGGGGGGGGGGGCGCGGCCATGAACTCTAAGGCCATGTGCTTCATTTGACTTTTTTTTTTTTTTTTTACCCCAAGCGGGGCCCCAGCGGCTTCAGTGAGCGGCGCTGCGATGCTCCGCGTGTGCAACCCCTGCCCCCCGCCCCTGCCCCCGCAGCACCGTCAGCCGCTCTCCCCTGAGCCGCGCCGCCCGTGCGTGGAAAGGGGGCGAGCCCAGGGAGTGCGGAGGAGTTTGCTGCTGGGGTTGTTCTCAGCGGGTCTGGGGGCGTGGGGGGGGATCCTCCTCCGGTCGGGGCATGCCTGGCCCGGGGGGCGGGGGCGGCCTCTGGGCCCGATCCCGCCGCCCAAGGACTGGCCAGAGAGGTTCCGCTCTGGGCGCAGCGATCGCAGCGGGCCGCTGGCGGGCACCGTGTGCGGCGTCTCTTCCCCCTTCCTGCGCGTCCCAGGCCCCATCCCGACAGCCCCGTCCGCTGATAGCCCAGCACGGCTGGGGGGGGGAGATAACACAAATAGAGCCAGCTAGTGACAGGAGCCCAGGAGCAAAACTCTCCAGGCAGCTTCTGAGTTGAGGTCGGGGGGCTGGGCCTTCTGCATGGAGCGATGCCTTTCACTGGGGCTTTATGTACCTAGGGACGCCTTGTCCGGATCATAACTATTTAAGGAGCAATACTTTGTGCTTGTGGAGAGGTATATTTGTGTAAACACGTGCAACCTTGTTGGCGAGCAAAGTAAAAAAAAAATTTGGGAGGGGGGAGTCCGGGCTTGGGGAGGGGGGTGAGAGGTGCAGATAAAATGCCAAAACGTATTTTGCAGGAGGGGATTGGGCCTTTTTCCTGTTGGCTCAGGAAGGACGCTTGGGGCTGAAATGAAATACATTAGATTATAGCTCTAGCCATGGGCGGGGTGCGTTGGTTTGCGAGGGAAACAGCAGAGGCGTAATAAGGTAGTTGGATCTCATTAAGTTGTGTCTCACACACACACACTTACCGCGCACTGACTTCGCTTCGCCCCTCGAGAAAAGTGAAAGCCCTGGAGGAAAAAAAGACTTTACTTTTAAAGTCAGTCTAATATCGATCGCCGTCATTCCCCTCTCCCCCCACCTCCAACCCCGGCGGCAGACGCAGCCCTACCCTAACGGGGGACCGGGGGAAAGGATCCTCCTCGGATCTGATTCTCTGCGGGCCGTTGTACAGGGAACAGCGTGTGCCTAGAGCAGAGCAAATAAAGGCAGGGACAGCCAGCGAGGAGCGAAAAGCCTTTTATTTTTCATTGCAGTGGTGGGCCAAGTGATCCTTCCCGTCTGTCAAAAGGACGTCGGGATCCTTCAGGATGAAAGGGCGGGCGGGGGGGGGGGAAGAGAGCCATCTTCTTACCTTTTATCCTCTGTTTCCCGGAGTGTGGGCCGCCGCTTTGTGTGGGAAGGAAGCCCCTGCAAGGTGTGTGTGTGGCTGGAGCCCGTCCAGCGGAGCGAAACCCAGGGGGAGCCTTTTCAGTCACCCCTAGAAGCCCCCGAAGGGAGCTGAGCGGGGCGAGCTCCTGTTCCCACCGCCGCCGGTCCCATCCCAAGGCAAAGGGGCTCGCTGCTGACGTGCTTGGGGCAGCCGGCAGCCACGGGGACGCAGGGAAAAGAAGTGGCACGTTTAGGAGCCGGTGTCCGTGTTTTTATTCTTCACAATGCACCATCTTGCCTTTAAATCCGCCAGGGCTGGGCCATCTATCACAATATGTTCCATCTACCCGCTGCCTTCTTGAACTCGCCTGGAAAATTGCAGTGTATTTACCTGGCTCCATGACCTTGTTATGTTGCCTGAGAAAAATACCTATTTGCTTCCCTTTGGTTTGGGCTAGTTGGAGCCCTCATAGGGCCACGCTTATTGGGCTCATGAGAAAGCTCTGCTAGGGACACAAAACAAGCCAACAAAGTCCTTAGACTGAGGGCAAACGCCACTTAAAGCGAGGGAAGGTGGCAGAGTGAATATTAAACCTTGGGACAGGGAGACAGCATATTCCTGCTCATAAATGCGAGATCTGCTTTTGCGTGGCTCCCCGAGATACTTGCATGAAAGTAGTTCATAAACTCCGAGCAGCCAGCTTTCTGTTTTATGTAGCGGACAGAGAAAAATCTCCCTGGTCTTTACTGTGTGGAATAACTTAAATGTCTGTGTGGCAGCTGCTTCTAAAGCCGAACCTAAACTCTTTGGAAGAAGGGGGGACGAGTGAAAGGCGAAAGAAAGACTTCTTTTTTCCCCCCCTTTGGTGCCATTTTGGATGTCAGCTGTTTCCTTGGTGACTGTGTTCGGCCCCCAAAGCCCCTGGGCTCCTGGATTGTTAGAAGAAGAAGAAGAAAAGCCTGCTATTTCGGCACCGTCATTTATCACTGTCACCGCATAATGATTCCCCTTGCAGCTCCTTATTGATGTTTGTAATTGCATTATCTCATAAGGGGTGAGGGGTGATCAATGAAACCGAGCCATGCATTCTGGGGTCAGAGGCTGCCAAAGTACGGTTGGTCCCGTTTTAATACAAGTACTCATTAGCTTTAGGGCTGCATGCAAATATATCTATATAATCTCTGAGCTGGTGCAGACCTTGTAGCCCAGCCCAGCGCTTGTCTAAAAGACCGCGGTTGGCGTAACCTTTTGCAGAAATGCTAGACCAGGTACCTGTCTCGCATCTCAACGAAATGAGCTGGAGCCACTGATTGGGGAGGGGTTTTTCCCCCCGCGGGGATCAGATGTCAATTCTGAGTAAGCATCGGGGAGTCTCCCCCCTCTTTCCCTTCAAAGTGGGACCCACCGCTCTCTCCACTCCATCGAAGGCATGGGAACGTATGGAGAACTCGCCCCAGAACATCTCGGTGTGCGCGTTTACCAGCGTCGCCACTTTAAACACCCAACGTTAACCCCCCTTGTGCTCTCCGGCACTCCGGTTTCATTAATACGAGCTGCAAACTGGAGTGATCAGCACCATCGCCTTGTTGTTAGAGCGCTTCGGTTTAGGTAGGTGACGGGTGCAGGGGTTGGTAAGCGGAGGAATGCAAAACAAAATAAAATAAATAAGCCCACGCCAGCCAAAGTAAAACAAATCGCCCCCTCCCTGAACCAATCAATGGCACGTTTTGCACTTGAAATAAGCCGGCAGCTCCGCCGACCCCAACTGAAGTTCATGTGTCGATTCAAGAGAGTATTTAGGTAGCGAAGAGAGATGGCACACTGACATTGTGGCGAGTTTGTGTAAGCTTAGGGAATTTAAGCCATCGTGTTGCAGAGACCTAAAGAAGTGGGGGAGATACAAAGAGGGAGGGAAAAGCTCCCAGCGTAATTTTAAACTAAATGCTTTATTGGACTGTGACAGGGATATCTAAACAGTGAAAACTTGATTTGTTTAGCCAGAGGCGGGGAAGGAGACAGATCCAACTTAGAGTGCCACGTTTAAGTAAGAGGTTGAGTTTCTCAAACCTATCCTCTGTGGTCAATTAGCTTTTTATTTTAATTTGGGGGAAGTGGAGAATGTTAAGCGAACGCCGAGCGCATCCTACATAGGGAGAAAGAGTAAACGCTGTTACAGGTTTCAGAGTAGCAGCCCTGTTAGTCTGTATTCGCGAAAAGAAAAGGAGGACTTGTGGCATCTTAGAGAGCATAAGCTTGCATCGGATGAAGTGAGCTGTAGCTCAGGAAAGCTTATGCTCAAATAAATTGGTTCGTCTCTAAGGTGCCACAAGTCCTCCTTTTCTTTTTTACTATTACAAATACAATTTGACCTGAGAAGGGTCCCCTCCAACCCTTTTGGTATCACACTAGCCCAAAAAGATTACCAACGAAGTAAAGATTAACACCCCCCCTCCTACCCCGCCCCGTAACACAAAATTAAGTCCATGTGTTGCACTCTAAAGTTAAAAGAATTATTTGTCGGCTACATTCTTGGAGACTAACCCTATCAATACTTAACCAAACCCATCTATGGAATACTGTATTAGAGTCCATATCAGTTCGGAAACAAAACAGAATTTTTCAAATAGCTGTTTCAATAAGATCACGCTACTATACGAAACCAGAAATATTCTATGCCGATAAGGACAGATAGTTTAACTGGATTTGCTATCCATTGACTTTTGTTCATTTGCTACCCCTTTGAATGAGCGTTGTTCCTTGATTTTGGAAATTACACAATCTTCTAATAAACGAGTCTGGAACTAATATATTGATTGTAGACGTCAAATCTCTGTTTTGTCCACTATATTTTTAATTCTTTTTGCAGCGGTGCTAGAATTATACATGTAAATAAAGGCCAGTTGTTTCCTTTCTCATAAACATTCACACGTTGTTTCACTCTTAAAGTAAAATAACCGCAACTGCTAAGTAGTAGGATTAATATACAACTTTCAAATCTCCATGTGAACTAATCAGACTTCGCTTTTTTCCCTTTTTCTTGCTTTGATTATAGTTTGCAACCTGAAGCTACATACTTGAAACAAAATAGTGCTTTAGACCACGGTTAAGATAGGGAAAAATTAGTCTCGTTTCAGAAATTATTTATTTGTAGAACGACTATGATTAAAACACACACACAAACCGCAGCTGCAAAAAAGGAGAGAGAAAAACAACAAACAACCCACCGTGATTTACGATTATTAAATCTTTGATTGCCATGTTAATGTTTCTTTTTCTACCTTTCATTTGCATTTTAATCTATCGACTCTTTACTATTTTGCTGCTTCCTAGTCGAGTGATTGATTACAGATCTTCAAGAAAAAAAAACCCACCAAGCTTTGCGGGCGACCTTATATCTCTGCTCCCCCCCCCTTTTGCTGGTTAGATTTCTGAACCTTCCTCAGCAATGGTAATGCAAGCAGGGCAAATTAATTGTGCTCTTTTAAATGTCAAAGGTATAAATAAAAACGTGTTTTGCCCCCCCTCCCGGGTCCCAAATGTGAGTACTTTCCCACCCCGCTTGTTTTAAAAGCGAGAAGGAATCATCCCGGTAAAATACAATTAAAAAAACCAAACCAAACCAAAGCACAACCAGGCGCAGACAGGACCCTGACTGTAAATACGTATCAGTGCAGATGGACTGTTCTTGTTTGGTAAAAAAAATCAAATCAAATCAAATAGGCAGCGCGAGGCAGCCCCAGGTTTCCCTGGCAGGGTTTTGGTGTTGAGCCTGGGATCTGGAGCCTGGCTGGAATGGTTATTAGGACAATTTGTTGACAGGCCAGCAGTAAAGACAAAAGGAAGAGAAGCAGCCTCTCGCCTGTTTATTTTCTTTCCTGGTCTAACCTGTCTGCTGCCCCTTGGGCTGTCCCCCCTCGGAGTAGGGCGGCGTCCTTTGGGCAGGACCCTTTTGTTGCTGTTGTGTGGGTGGTAGGTGGTGGGTTTGCTGGGACTAGCTGCGGGCGGGTGGGGTAGGATGCACTGGGCTGCCCAGCTGTCCCTGGGCTGGATGGGTGCGGACTGGAACAACAGTTCCCCAACCCTGGGAGGCTGGGACCTGGCAATCCAACCCTTAAGGGTCCCGCAGCAAAGAGGGGCTGTCGGGGAGGGGCGAGCCCACACATAAGTGCTGACGGGGGTGGGGGGGAGATGAGCCTCAGGAGGAGAGGAGGTAACCTGGACAGACTTTGGGAAGCCCCCCAGCCCTACCCCAGAAAGGGAGAGGCTGGCAGCCGGGTGGCATGCCAAAGCGATCTCAGCAGAGACTCGCAGCGCCGGCGCTGGGCTGCTTCCCCAGGGACTAATCCGGCGTAGGGACAGGCGCTTGCTCCTGCTCACTCATATCATGACCACCGCCCCCCCGGGATCCTGACCCGGCGCCTGGCGGTGCAAGAGGGAGGCTCCCTCGCAGGCTGGAGACCTTAGGAAACATCTCACAGCGCAATCAGGGACTCACTGCCGGGATTTGATTGCCCAGGCTTCTTCCTTCCACTAAATGGAGCTGGTCTCATACAGTACGCGCAGGGTGGCTGGAGATCGGTATGTGTCTGACACCGGCACGTACGCGATTTATCACTCAGAGCCACGGTGGCCCTGGGACAAGGGTTTCCAGCCAGTGCGGCTTGTCATCTGGAGGTGAAACGACTCAGATCCGAAATCCCCTTTTCTCCTGTCTACACGCGCAGCCCGCGACTGGCTCACGTGGGATGCCGACCCAGCTGGGGTTGAGAGGCAGATCCGGGCAGCGAGGGGAGAAAGAAGAGGGCACACGGGGAAAGTGTAAACGGGAAAACTCATTGCGGTAGAAAGGATCAGAGCGGTCTGTACCTCCAGGGGTGAAGACAGATCCTTGCGGACAAGTGGGAAGACAGGGCTGGAATGATTTAAAGGCGAAGGGATGGCAGATTATTAAGAAAGTAATAGCAAGGTGTCCCCTGCACTACAGTTTTATTGTGGGGTAGTAACTACCGGATTTATTTATTGCCGGGGCTCTACAATAAAGATAATGACCACAACCTCAAGATAAATGCTTACGCCCGGAGCTGGTCAATTGTTTTTTATTTAGGAGTGTGATCCTGAAAGGTGGAAGTCAGCTTCTCCCCGCCGCAAAGATCCGTCTTGGTTTCCCATCCCATTAGAAACACGACATGCAAATAAATAGGTAGTTTCGGGTTTGGTACGGCGGGATTTATTTCAGGCAAAGGAAGAGGTCGCGGGGGGACCCCCAGAGACTGAATTTCTGTCGGTGCGCTGTACCCCCACCTTCGCTCTCACGCATCCGCAGCTGAAAGCATGAAGGTGTCATGTCTGAACTCCTTGTTTCCTGATCGATAAGGGCGAGGGAAACAATGTGAAAACCGCCCCCCCCCCGCCCCCGGCCCAGGAGGCTGCTGGCTGGAGACTGGAGACTTCCTGTTGGAAAGGGTGAAAGTGCCCTAGAGGGGGGCTTTTCCTTGCTGCCTCCCACGCCGAGGCGGACAATAGGGAGGTTTAATGTAGTTTTGACCTATTAAAAACACTTGCAGGAGTGCCACATACCCTCAGCACCTGGCTTGGTTAG